GCAGGGGGATGAGGGCAGTTGCCTAACTTAAGTGGCTGCTGGTCTGCTATTTCTTTCATCAGATATGATTATGCCGACTGTTACATGAATTTGTGGAAGGGCCACGGTGGCCAAGTGGTTAATATTAAGCGACTGACATTCTGCTACCACTACATGTAGCTCCTTTCCACCAATTGGTCACGGATTCGAGACCTATGTGGGGCAGTTGCCAGGTACTAGCTAGCCATAGGTAGGTGGTTTTCTCCGGGAACTACGGCTTTCCTCCACCACCAAAACCTGGCATGTCCTTAAATGACCATAGCTGTTAATAGGACGTAAAAATACAAATAAACAAACAAACAAATGTTATATGGTGCTTGTCAAAAGTATCTCTCAAACATTGATGGAGCCCGGAATTAGTCCGTGGTTGGAGTGACCACACTCCCCGATTCCACGCCATACCGATCCACTACTTAATGTTTGATGACTTCTGACTGCACGCTGAAAGGAAAAGGAAAAATAAACCTTGTAAAACATTTTCTAAATATATTTTAATCTTTCAATGTGAAATGAAAAATTAATATATATATACAAGGGGTATGAAGTAGAATCTATAATTAAATGGTCCTAACATGTAATTTTGTATGTCAACTGTCGCATTAGTGATGTTTGGTTTGGCTCATTTACCCCTGAAAGTTTATAATGAACTATTCGAACCTTTGAACTGGAAGAGTTCAAATGTGTTTCCATGGGTGAATGAGTTAACACAGGGCAAACATTATCATAATTATGTACTGAGATTTAAACAGTAAGAATAGATCAACATCAATTGATAAAATATCATACAGTAAAACCTTGATATAGTGCCCCTAATTTCATTTGTCACCTCATTTACCGCTGACATATTTTTATATACCTTTTCTCATTTAATTAATAATCCATATATACATTTCTCTCAATTTATCGCCAAACCCCTTTATAATGCCAAAATAACTCTGGACAAATAGTGACAGTATAATGAGGTTTTACTGTACTCCACAAAAAGTACATTCACTCACCATCACTTTTTTGTCTATCAAAAATATATTGTATACAAACATATATTTTTTGTGTTTCTGTGTATACTTGAATTTTTATTTCTGTGTATACATATATTTTGATATGCCTCTGTGAATACTTGCATTTGTATGTCTCTGTATATACTTGTAATTTTATGTCTCTGTGTATACTTGTATTTTATGTCTCTGTGTATACTTTTATTTTTATGTCTCTGTGTATACTTGTATTTTTATATGTCTCTGTGTATACTTATATTTCTATATGTCTCTGTATATACTTTTATTTTTTATGTCTGTGTATACTTGTATTTTTATATGTCTCTGTGTATACTTGTATTTTTATATGTCTCTGTGTATACTTATATTTTAACATGTCCCATCACTCGATTATTCCATCATTAGAATACATTTAGTTATCCTTGAATATTCTATCTTTAGAATATATTTACCCAACCTTGATTATTCCATAATTAGAATATACTTAGCTATACATGTATCCTTGAATATTTCATACTAATAAGAATATTTATCTGCCCTTCATTTTTAATCACTAGAATATTGACCTCAAGTGAATTTGTATCAGGAATATAGGAATATAACTTTGTTATCACTAAAACACACCCACCAATCATTAAGTATGTAATTACTTATACTATAACAACTCTGGGTAAATATGGCTTATAACTCTTTCATCCCTATTTAACTTCAGTAGACTCTACCATCATTGATCTGGATGAGTCCATAATGGTCTACAGTGGTGAAAGGGTTAAATCATAACAATAAATACTACTTCAAACAATTTCAAAGCAGCTGCTGTATCAACATACCGGTACATGATTGTGTTATTTCTCAAATCACACATCGATAATTATCTATACTACATACAATGTAGTTAAAAGTACCATCTACCAGTAAATACATAATCTTTAAAAATAACAAAGATGACATCAACAGGTAAGATAAACAGAATCTTTAACAATTGTAAATTTAATTTTCCCAATAAAAAACAAGAGTACAGTGAGGCGGAATAATATACGCCCATCGAATACCGTATAGTGTTAAATACATCATCAAATACTGAAATGAACAAAGGGCAATAACTTTTTCAAAAATCGTTGAATCAAAATTCTTTTGAGGGAGACACAACTTCATATCACGATTATAATGTATACCAAGTTTCAAAGAGATTCGTTGAAAAATGTAGGAGGAGATTGCCAGACAAAAATAAAATCCTGAAATAAACAAAGGGCAATAACTTTTGCAAAAATTGTTGAATCAAAATTCTTTTCAAGGAAACACAACAATATTTCATGATTATTTAGCCTACTAAGTTTCAAAGATGATAAAGAGAATCTCTGACCTCTAGTTATTATATTCAATATTAGAATAACAATACATGTAAGATAAATAGAATCTCTAACTTCTCATACAATGTACATGTATAGTAATACATTTTCTCAATAGAGAGGTGGTGATGTTCTGGGTCTGATCTGCAGGCAGAGCTTAAAAAATGCACACTGTCAGCGTTTTGTAACAAATAATTAACAATTATGCAAGAATAATGTATCTTTTTTTTTGAGTGTCCACTAAATAATATAACATATATCCTAATCTATCCTAGATGAATTGACCGTCTGTTACAAAGAAAAAATGCAAACTAGTACTTGTCAGCATTTTAGTTTCGGTCAGGCACGTCTGGACCTTCCTGAGATCAGCCTGGGTTCAGATCTGAGCCTGTCGCTTTCTTTTCAGGTTCAGTTGGTTGAAACGGTTGAACCAGATATGCGAAAGGGGTGCACAAACCCGACTATGTAAAGCTTATTCTAGATTATAGCATCTCTTCATTTAGTAGCTTTAGTTCAGTACCCTGTAATGTTCTAAGTTTAGTAATATTTACTTTGTGGAGGCACGATAGTCTAGTGGTAGGACGTCAGGCTCCTAACCGAAGGGTTGTAGGTTCGAGTCACAACAAGGCTCTGTTTTGTATCTTTGAGCAAGATATTTTACTCTGCTTGTTCCAGTCTACTCAGCTGTAAATGAGTATGTGGTTGGGCAGTGCTAGAATGGTTGAATGCTAGCTATTAGTGCCGAAATGGAAGCTCCAGCTGTATGCTCCCCAGGACAAGTGGTCTCTTAACACAGGTGGTTTCTTAATGGAGGTGGTCCCTTTAGCAGGTTTGACTGTATACTAATTAATTATTCAATGTAATGATGGGTGGTCAGGTGATGCAATGGATAGCTCACTTGCCTTTCACCAAGGCGACCAGGGTTCGATTCTTGATTTTTTACCAATTGGAAAAACAATCAATAGATTTGACCTTTGAGCACATTTTATCACAGTGACCTTTTGGGGCACAAGCCTAAGAATGCTATGTGACCAGTCTGTCATTACACACCTACAAAATGTACAAAGTATCAAAATGAAAGGTTGTTCACTACCAAACAGACATTCCTGTTTGGAAACATATTTGACCTTTGGCCTCTCATTATGACTTTTACCTGAGAGTGTCATTGGACCCACAATCAGGTAATGGCATAAAGTGTCATAACAAAAATTTGATAAAGTCAGAAGTTAAGGCTGGACAAAGTGTAAACGGATGCAAGGACAGACAGTTACTAATATATACAGGCCTCTTCCTTCCTTCATGTTTATAAAAAAACACTTTCCGAAGTCACACAGGAACTGCAGTGTATTTGGGTGGCCGGGTGGCACAGTGCATTCACCTTTCATGAAGATGACTGGAGTTTGACTCCTCGATTGAATGTGAAAAGGTATTGGGTTATCTGCCCGCCCACCTGGGTATTCTATGGGTACCTTCAACATCATAAACCCCCTATGCACTTTCATCCACACCATCAAGAGTGATAAATACAAGTTGAAATAACTTGTGTTGTAATTGCTGTAAAATTAATTAAGTTTACTTACTAAGTTGTATTTTTTATTTTGACTGACACTGTACTGTTTCAGTTACCTAGAATACATAGGTATTATTAGACTGGCCCCCGTCTCTAGAATATTGAATAATTAAGAACAAAAATCAACTCGAACAAATTTTATCATTTGGATGTCTCATTCTAAGTTCTAAACTAGGGGGAGATAAGCTAGTAGTAAAATGCAGCCAAGAAATTCTCCATAAAACTTAGGGGCTGGTAGCCAGTCTGAGGTATTATATGGAAGGTGTCGGTTCTTCACAAACAAAAAAGTCTATATATATAAACAACTTATATGCAAATGTAATATACAAACAAAATACTGATAAAATCTTTATTTTTATGAGGGTTTTTCATGTCTAGAAATAATGGCACTGAAATATTACAAAAAGACTGCCCCCATATAAAACAATATCTCATATAATTTACGCAAATTAAAAAAAAAAAAAAATTGTCCTTGATAACTTTCATGCTTATACATATGGATTCTTAACAGCAGAGGTAATTATATGGTGAACAAAAGGTAGATAAAACATGTTAAAGGAAATGACATGAAATGAACAAACAGGTAAAAGACAAACGTCAACTTGAATAGTAAAGTGGCTATGGTTAGTTATATCTTTTTGAACAAGACAACAGTTTTAATATAGGTTAAAATTGTAAAGATATTTAATCTTTTGAAAAGAGATTTGGGATTTGTTATAGATTTAGGAGGCACGGTAGTTTAGTGGTAGGACGCCAGCCATGTGACTGAAGGGTTGCGGGTTCGAGTTACGGCACGGCACTGTGTTGTATCTTTGAGCAAAATACTTTACTCCGCTTGTTCCAGTCTACTCAGCTGTGAATGAGTACGTGGTTGGGCAGTGCTAGAATTGTTGAATGCTTGCTGTGAGCACCAAAATGGCAGATATTGGCTGGGTGCAAATGCCCTATAACCACGGATAATAATTTGTGAACCGCTTTGAGACGAACTACAGAATTGATTGTGATAAAGCGGTATATAAGAACCTCAAATTATTATTATTATTATTATATATTATTATTAATTTTTTCTCTTGTTGGCTGAAGGTCATTGCAGTCTAATAACAAGTGTTTTACTGTAAACGGTTTGTGACATGCTACGCATTGAGGCTGATCTATGCGCTTCAATAAATAAGAATAGGTAATGTACTATAAGTGACTCATCCAGAGATGGGCGAGGACAATCTTGTCTCAGCGATTTTCTCTGTAGCTGGGACACCACTCAAACCCATTTTGCATTTTACAAAGTGCAGTTTGTTGTCTACGTGTTAATTCTAATTATTTTGCCACTTTAACCTTACAAAATTTGTTATCAATGGTTTAAAATCTGATAACTGACAACGTGATGTTTATTTATTTCACAACGTAAATGATATAAAATTACTGGAATCCAAACCCACTACTAAGCAGTGCTAATTAAGATTGCAATGGAAATTGTATAACTTCATAAATAAGCCAAAGACAGTTGGAATGTAAATATAGCATGATCAATGATCACACAGCCGGCCCAAACCGTTGCAGCAATCTGGTTGCTGTTTATGTCATGAATCTGCTCAACAAAATCACACAACAATTATTCATATTCAAACTGATGCATAAACGTGAATATATATAAAACGATTTTCAATAGTACATGTTTACAGGTAATACATTTCTATGAAATTTCTCGCGAAATTAAAAAATATCATTTTTTTCTTCTACATAATCAACTATTATAACAGACATATATCATGAAAATATGTTTGACATTGTCACCTTGAATTTCTATTGAAGTTATAGTTGTCTTCTTGAATAACAAAATTATAGTGAGCATGTTGCAGTATTTGGTTCTGATGTAAACGTTTTGTCAACTCACAACTCCCAACCCTTTCACCCCTATGTACATGTAACTTTAATAAACTCTACCATGTCTTGATCTGGATAAGTCCCTCATGGGCTATAGTGGTGAAAGGGCCAAACTTTAAAATTCTAGCCAATGAAAATTAATCAGAATGTTCACAAAATTTGTCCTCAAATAATCATTGTAAAACCTCACACATCCATGGATATAGTTTCCGCATTTTTCAAAATATCTTCAAGGAAAATTTTGCATTTCTATATTTTCAAGCTGACACTAACCCGGCTTTGAATGGGCCCTAGTAGACATCTGGACATATCGTGTGACTAATGGTGCATTCACAGCAACATGGTATACTATACTGTTAGCTCAGGCGATCCCCTGTATCGGCTTAAAGCGCTTCCCCCCAATTGCGGTCCCACCCACATACTCCCTCTTATGACCCTGTACCAAGCCCTCAGAGGCTGGACCACAACTCCCAACCACTCCTCCTCCCAAGCCCCACCCCATATCCGGTCGGCCAGAGATGGAGCCACATCTCTTTAACTCTTCTCTTCCCATGCCCCTCCCCACATCCAATCCATCAGAGATGGAGCAACATCTGTTGACTGTTTCTCCTCCAATTCCCCTTCCCATCTCCTGTTCTTCAGAGGTGGAGCCAGTACATCTGTTTACTTCTTCTTCCGTGCCTCTCCTTTGATCTTGTCCATCACAGATGGAACCACATTTACTGACCACTCTTAGAACATGCATCCTTCCATTATCCTCTTCGGGTATACTTTTAGCACCATTTTTTTGGTCAGGTACAAAAACATCCTCTTTCTCCAGCTTGGAGTTTTCTGAAACCTCGGAATGCCTCGACGCTATTTGACCTTCACCTTTGAGGTGATTTAACTCAATACTGGTGCCCAGATCCCCTATGGGGACCTCCACACCCACATTGGACATTCCCGATCCCCAGCCTTGCTTTGTGATCTTGCTGTTGTCAACATTGCTACTAGCATTGAAACTGTTAACATCACGACTCTGTGACGGGATTCTGTCTGTCTTCTGGTCTGTTCGCTCCTCAAACAGTAGCGTAAGTTTCCGAGTCTGAAATTAATATACATGTTATTAGAACTAAAATAAAAAAGATGTTCCAAGAAGAGTCAATCAGAAATCTATAACAAAACTTATATCTCAAATTACCAAGGCTGTATTATTTGTCCTGCAGGACTTATACTTTAGAGTCATTTAATTATCACTTTTCTTCATTTCAAATTGTAACAAGAGCCATTCTAGTTAGATACAATTTTTCTATAATACCACAATTTTATATCAAACTGAAAAATAAAAAATAAAATTTAAAAGAATGTTTTTTAACTGAAACAGTCAAATATTATTATAACACTTAACTTTTTAAGGCAGAGAGTCCCACCACTTTTCTACTGTATAAAAATTACTGTGTTTTTATGCTATCTAACTATATTTATACAAAAGCACTTTTAAGCTGCAGGCCTATTTAGAGAGTTAGGTAAACATTTCAAGGTCAGCCCCAGCAGTGTTGCAAAAAAAATATAACATAGCATATAATATCATGACTCAGGTAGCACGGTATAGATATTTTAGACTCCTGCTTTACAATCGTCGAAAAAAGGAAATTAATAAATAATTTAATGTTTATACATAATTTAATATAAATCATAATATGTAATTGTAATTGTACATCTTTGCTGCAATTAATAAGCCAGCAACCCTTAGTCAAAACCAAAAACCCCCCAAAAAAACTGTTCTTCTTCTTTTGATAGCTTTTTAATTTTAAATTAATTAATCTGAGTAGCCCTTTGAACATTTTTATTCATTTCATACGGTCGTTATGTACGCGAATTCACACACTGCTCTGGTAGTGACACAGTCGAATGTTCCAGGACGAAGCTGCTATGGAATAAGAAATTTGTCAGCATCCCTTAATTGTACAATTAGACATAATGGATCCTGAATATGTTCCATGTTTCCAGACATTTTAACGGCTGTCATCAGACTGTCATCTTGCTGAACTACTATATATATGCAGAGATAACTAAGCAGAAGAAGGGAGAGATGTATAAATATATGACCATATCTTACCTGTTCATCTATACAGCTAAACTGCCATGACCACGAGGCGTTGTAGAGAAACTGACGATGGTCAAACCTATTGTCGTCTGGACTGTAAGATTCGGCATGATAGGATGGGGTCAAGGTCGTCATCTTGTGACGGTTGATGGCATAACATCGGAAGAAATGCTTCACCTTCTGGGCAATCTGTTGTTAAATGAACCAAACTTCAATATGAATGACAAGTGCTGATTGTCATGTGGGAAGGGGGAGAGTCACAACAAAAGTCCCCAAAACATCTCTCGCTGTTGCAAATGAACCTAATGGAAGTTACAGTGGATTTCGCAGTAACCTTACACACCTGCAACTAAATTTAAGCAAATTCTGTCATTATCTTTCAACCAATAACTGGCCGTGGCGACAGCCATGTTGGATGACCATTCCAAAAAGGAAAATCATTTGCACACTGCCTTCTCAAATACAAACACTCATGTAAAGTTTTGTTAAATCCTGCCAAATAGTTTAAGTAAAAAGTTGCCAAATCCTCACTAGCAGAAGAAAGTGGAAAAATAAGAAACTTCATTTTGAAGTATAAAATAAAATATTTTCCAATATTAGCAGACATTCTGCTGACTTAACTATAGCATCTTTTAACATGTTTCAGAGAACAGATATCAGAATCACCTTTGTGAAGTAAGGATAAAACATTCAACTGAATCATCGACTCAATTACCTGTTCAGTTGAATACCCACCTGTCCAGGTGTTGTGACTTTGCTGAGCCTTACCTGTTCAGTTGAATACCCACCTGTCCAGGTGTTGTGACTTTGCTGAGCCTTACCTGTTCAGTTGAATACCCACCTGTCCAGGTGTTGTGACTTTGCTGAGCCTTACCTGTTCAGTTGAATACCCACCTGTCCAGGTGTTGTGACTTTGCTGAGCCTTACCTGTTCAGTTGAATACCCACCTGTCCAGGTGTTGTGACTTTACTGAACCTTACCTGTTCAGTTGAATACCCACCTGTCCAGGTGTCGTGACTTTGCTGAGCCTTACCTGTTCAGTTGAATACCCACCTGTCCAGGTGTTGTGACTTTGCTGAGCCTTACCTGTTCAGTTGAATACCCACCTGTCCAGGTGTTGTGACTTTACTGAACCTTACCTGTTCAGTTGAATACCCACCTGTCCAGGTGTCGTGACTTTGCTGAGTCTTACCTGTTCAGTTGAATACCCACCTGTCCAGGTGTTGTGACTTTACTGAACCTTACCTGTTCAGTTGAATACCCACCTGTCCAGGTGTCGTGACTTTGCTGAGCCTTACCTGTTCAGGTGAATACCCACCTGTCCAGGTGTTGTGACTTTGCTGAGCCTTACCTGTTCAGTTGAATACCGACCTGTCCAGGTGTTGTGACTTTGCTGAGTCTTACCTGTTCAGTTGAATACCCACCTGTCTAGGTGTTGTGACTTTGCTGAGCCTTTACCTGTTCAGTTGAATACCGACTTGTCCAGGTGTTGTGACTTTGCTGAGCCTTACCTGTTCAGTTGAATACCCACCTGTCCAGGTGTTGTGACTTTGCTGAACCTTATGATTACCTGTTCAGTTGAATACCCACATGTCAAGGTGTTGTGACTTTGCTGAACCTTATGATTACCTGTTCAGTTGAATACCCACCTGTCCAGGTGTTGTGACTTTGCTGAACCTTATGATTACCTGTTCAGTTGAATACCCACATGTCAAGGTGTTGTGACTTTGCTGAACCTTATGATTACCTGTTCAGTTGAATACCCACCTGTCCAGGTGTTGTGACTTTGCTGAACCTTATGATTACCTGTTCAGTTGAATACCCACATGTCAAGGTGTTGTGACTTTGCTGAACCTTATGATTACCTGTTCAGTTGAATACCCACCTGTCCAGGTGTTGTGACTTTGCTGAACCTTATGATTACCTGTTCAGTTGAATACCCACATGTCAAGGTGTTGTGACTTTGCTGAACCTTATGATTACCTGTTCAGTTGAATACCCACCTGTCCAGGTGTTGTGACTTAGCTGAACCTTATAATTACCTGTTCAGGCGAATACCTGTTTGCCCAGGTATGAACCAGTTTGGAGAACCTTATAATTACCTGTTCAGGAGAATACCTGTTTGCCCAGGTATGAACCAGTTTGGAGAACATGCTGTACGGACCACATTGTTTCTGCTTCCTTAGACGACCATATATAGACAACTCTTCGTAGGTCATCCCCATGTCCTCCTAAAACAGGGAAAGCTTTTTATTTTAGATTCTGTAAATGATATTAACTTTATTAATTATTTAAAGTTCTGAAATAAGTTGTTTTGAAAACAGCACATGGTCAGTCTTTTCTAATGTATTTCATCCTTTAAGATGTGTTTCAGCCTTATCTGATTGTTTCAGCCTTAATTATCTGATGTGTTTCAGCCTTATCTGAGGTGTTTCAGCCTTATCTGATGTGTTTCAATCCTGCCAGATGAGCTTTAGCCTTTATCGTGCGTGTAAATCTATCAAATCAGTTGTTCTGGCCACTTTTTTTTCTGTGCTTTTTTTTATATTGTGTTTCAGTCTTGTCTGACTTATAGTGTTTCAGTCTTGTCTGACTTGTTTCAATCCTTAAGACATGTTTCAGTCTTGTCTGACTTATAGTGTTTCAGTCTTGTCTGACTTGTTGTGTTTCAGTCTTGTCTGACTTATTGTGTATCAGTCTTGTCTGACTTATAGTGTTTCAGTCTTGTCTGACTTATAGTGTTTCAGACTTGTCTGACTAATTGTGTTTCAGTCTTGTCTGACTTATTGTGTTTCAGTCTTGTCCGACTTGTTTCAATCCTTAAGACATGTTTCAGTCTGTATTTAAAAGATGTGTTTCAGTCTTGTCTGACTTGTTTCAATCTTCAAGACTTGTTTCAGGCTTGTCTGAAGTACCAGGTAATTCAACTTCTTCAAGTTCCTTGTCATTCTACTCATCTTGCTAGACTGATGGTACTTTAGTTTTGCTTACCTTCAGATTTTTAAATCTTAATTTTTCCCCCATGTTTTCTCACAAGTATTTCTACACATTAGACATTATAACAAATGAGAATTATTCATCAGGACATTTTGGCTTATGAGGCCTATCTCCATAAAGATAAGGTTATAACATCTACTGGTCGTGGTCTAGTGACATTGTATTACATTCTGATCATCTGACAAGTAATTACCTCAGTTAATAAACACAGCCAGGCAGAACGAAAAATTGATCAGGTGATCGAACACACAATGTTTAGGCAGAAGACCGGTAAATTATGTTAATAAATGAACCATAACAAAAAATCAATATTGTTTTCATCAAGATATAGGTAGCCCTTTCCTACTTGGGTTACTGGGTTAATGAGTGATTAATAGGTTACTAGACTTCCACAGAAACAGTCCAACATAGATTATTAAGTTAATAACAGGTTAATTAGTTTGTGCCATCTGGCCCGATCTAACTAGTCATACTCAGGTAACTAGGTTAATGAGCGGTTAATATGCTATCAGACTTCCACATACAGTTCTGCGTGGATTGTTTGGCTTTTGAGAGCTTAACCCATTCACCCCTAAAGACCCTGCACGACTGTACATACAACATGTCTGTCTGACCCTGTACGACTGTACATACGCCATGTCTGTCTGACCCTGTACGACCGTACATACAACATGTCTGTCTGACCCTGTACGACCGTACATACGCCATGTCTGTCTGACCCTGTATGACAGTACATACGCCATGTCTGTCTGACCCTGTACGACCGTACATACGGCATGTCTGTCTGACTCTGTACGACCGTACATACGGCATGTCTATTTGACCCTGTACGACTGTACATAGAGCAAGTCTGTCTGACCCTGTACGACTGTACATACGGCATGTCTGTCTGTCCCTGTACGACCGTACATACAACATGTCTGTCTGATCCTGTACGACCGTACATACGGCATGTCTGTCTGACTCTGTACGACCGTACATACGGCATGTCTATTTGACCCTGTACGACTGTACATAGAGCAAGTCTGTCTGACCCTGTACGACTGTACATACGGCATGTCTGTCTGTCCCTGTACGACCGTACATACAACATGTCTGTCCGACCCTGTACGACTGTACATACGACATGTCTGTCTGACTCTGTACGACCGTACATACGGCATGTCTATTTGACCCTGTACGACTGTACATAGAGCAAGTCTGTCTGACCCTGTACGACCGTACATAAGCCGTGTCTGTCTGACCCTGTACGACCGTACATACGACATTTCTGTCTGACCCTGTACGACCGTACATACGCCAAGTCTGTCTGACCCTGTACGACCGTACATAAGCCATGTCTGCCTGACCCTGTACGACCGTACATACGCCATGTCGGTCTGACCCTGTACGACCGTACATACAACATCTCTGTCTGACCCTGTACGACCGTACATACGGCATGTCGGTCTGACCCTGTACGACCGTACATACAACATCTCTGTCTGACCCTGTACGACCGTACATATGCTATGTCTGTCTGACCCTGTACGACCGTACATATGCTATGTCTGTCTGACCCTGTACGACCGTACATACACCATGTCTGTCTGACCCTGTACGACCATACCTACAACATGTCTGTTCTGACCCTGTACGACCGTACATACAACATCTCTGTCTGACCCTGTACGACCGTACATACGACATTTCTGTCTGACCCTGTACGACCGTACATACGACATTTCTGTCTGACCCTGTACGACCGTACATACCGCATGTCTGTCTGACCCTGTACGACCGTTTATACAGCATGTCTGTCTGTCCCTGTACAACCGTTTATACAGCATGTCTGTCTGATCCTGTACAACCGTTTATACAGCATGTCTGTCTGATCCTGTACAACCGTTTATACAGCATGTCTGTCTGACCCTGTATGACAGTACATACACCATGTCTGTCTGACCCTGTACGACCATACCTACAACATGTCTGTTCTGACCCTGTACGACCGTACATACAACATCTCTGTCTGACCCTGTACGACCGTACATACGCCAAGTCTGTCTGACCCTGTACGACCGTACATAAGCCGTGTCTGTCTGACCCTGTACGACCGTACATAAGCCGTGTCTGTCTGACCCTGTACGACCGTACATACGCCAAGTCTGTCTGACCCTGTACGACCGTACATACGACATTTCTGTCTGACCCTGTACGACCGTACATACGACATTTCTGTCTGACCCTGTACGACCGTACATACGACATGTCTGTCTGACCCTGTACGACCGTACCTACAACATGTCTGTCTGACCCTGTACGACCATACCTACAACATGTCTGTTCTGACCCTGTACGACCGTACATACAACATCTCTGTCTGACCCTGTACGACCGTACATACGACATTTCTGTCTGACCCTGTACGACCGTACATACGACATGTCTGGCTGACCCTGTACGACTGTACATACAGCATGTCTGTCTGACCCTGTACGACCGACATACAGCATGTCTGTCTGACCCTGTACAACCGTTTATACAACATGTCTGTCTGACCTTGTACGACCGACAGACAACATGTCTGTCTGACCCTGTACGACCGACATACAACATGCCTGTCTGACCCTGTACGACCGACATACAACATGCCTGTCTGACCCTGTACGACCGACATACGGCATGTCTGTCTGACCCTGTACGACTGTACATACGGCATGTCTGTCTGTCCCTGTACGACCGTACATACGGCATGTCTATTTGACCCTGTACGACTGTACATAGAGCAAGTCTGTCTGACCCTGTACGACTGTACATACGGCATGTCTGTCTAACCCTGCACGACCGTACATACGCCATGTCTGTCTGATCCTGTACGACCGTACATACGCCATGTCTGTCTGCCCCTGTACGACCGTACATACGGCATGTCTATTTGACCCTGTACGACTGTACATAGAGCAAGTCTGTCTGACCCTGTACGACCGTACATAAGCCGTGTCTGTCTGACCCTGTACGACCGTACATAAGCCGTGTCTGTCTGACCCTGTACGACCGTACATATGCCATGTCTGTCTGACCCTGCACGACCGTACATACAACATGTCTGTCTGACTCTGTACGACCGTACATACGGCATGTCTGTCTGACCCTGTACGACCGTACATACAGCATGTCTGTCTGACCCTGTACAACCGTTTATACAACATGTCTGTCTGACCCTGTACGACCGACATACAACATGTCCGTCTGACCCTGTACGACTGTACATACAACATCTCTGTCTGACCCTGTACGACTTTACATACAACATTTCTGTTTGACCCTTTACGACCCTACATACGCCATGTCTGTCTGCCCCTGTACGACCGTACATACAGCATGTCTGTCTGACCCTGCACGACCGTACATACAGCAAGTCTGTCTGACCCTGTACGTACAGCATGTCTGTCTGACCCTATACAACCGTTTATACAACATGTCTGTCTGACCCTGTATGACCGTTCATACGCCATGTCTGTCTGCCCCTGTACGACTGTACATACAGCATGTCTTTCTGACCCTGTACGACCGACATACACCATGTCTGTCTGACCCTGCACGACCGTACATACAGCAAGTCTGTCTGACCCTGTACGTACAGCATGTCTGTCTGACCCTGCACGACCGTACATACGCCATGGCTGTCTGACCCTGTACGACTTTACATACAACATTTCTGTTTGACCCTTTACGACCCTACATACGCCATGTCTGTCTGCCCCTGTACGACCGACATACAACATGTGTGTCTGACCCTGTACGACCGCCATACAACATGTCTGTCTGACCCTGGACAACCGTTTATACAACATGTCTGTCTGGCCCTGTACGACTGTACATACGACATGTCTGTCTGACCCTGCACGACCGTACATACGGCATGTCTGTCTGCCCCTGTACGACTGTACATACGACATGTCTGTCTGACCCTGGACAACCGTTTATACAACATGTCTGTCTGACTCTGTACGACCATACCTACAACATGTGTGTCTGACCCTGTACGACCGACCTACAACATGTCTGTCTGCCACTGTACGACCGACATACGGCATGTCTGTCTGACACTGTACAACCGTTTATACAAAATGTCTGTCTGACCCTGTATGACCGTTCATACGCCATGTCTGTCTGGCCCTGTACGACTGTACATACGGCATGTCTGTCTGACCCTGGACAACCGTTTATACAACATGTCTGTCTGCCCCTGTACGACCGTACATACCCCATGTCTGTCTGACCCTGCACGAGCGTACATACAACATGTCTGTTTGACCCTGAACGACCGTACATACGCCATGGCTGTCTGACCCTGTACGACTTTACATACAACATTTCTGTTTGACCCTTTACGACCCTACATACGCCATGTCTGTCTGCCCCTGTACGACTGTACATACAACATGTCTGTTTGACCCTGTACGACCGTACATACACCCTGTCTGTCTGACCCTGTACCACCGTACATACAGCATGTCTGTCTGCCCCTGTACGACTGTACATACGACATGTCTGTCTGACCCTGGACAACCGTTTATACAACATGTCTGTCTGGCCCTGTACGACCGTACATAAGCGATGTCTGTCTGACCCTGTATGACCGTTCATACGCCATGTCTGTCTGGCCCTGTACGACTGTACATACGGCATGTCTGTCTGACACTGTACAACCGTTTATACAACATGTCTGTCTGGCCCTGTACGACTGTACATACGACATGTCTGTCTGACCCTGCACGACCGTACATACAGCAAGTCTGTCTGACCCTGTACGGCCGTACATACAGCATGTCTGTAAGACCCTGCAGTACAACCACTAAACATTGATTTCCAGTAGATATGACCATTATTTAGTACATATACCCTTGCTGTATTGGTTCCCATGGTATGCATGTGTGGCAGATTTTAGTTGTACATAGGATTACTGTCACCTTCTATCTTCACACTAGAGGGAATTACCCTTTAGTTCAGGGATAAAGGATCTGACTAGGTAATCTGGGGTCATGGTTTTGATTCCCGGTTGAAGAACACTACTCTCTTTCCTGTTACAAATGGTGTCTGTGGCCCTCCCTGTTTGGTGACAGCGAGTTAGAACCTGAGTTGCTGTGGTGTTCGAGGAAGAAAACATTTAAAAGTGGGGGGTATTGTGGCAGATTTTAATTGTACATAGAATTACGATTGCCTTCTAGCTTCGCATAACAGGGAATTTCCCTTTAGCTCAGTGGTAGAGCATCTGACTAAGTCTGGGGTCACAGGTTCCATCCCTAGTAGGAGCACACTACTCTATTTCCTGTTACACATGTCTGGATCTGTACCACAACTTTCTCCTGACATATGCAACCACAAAACTACATGTAGTGTTATCCAACATCTTGTATTATTACATTTTTGTAGTGATGGCTCGTTATTTTAATACTTGCTTTTAAATTTATGCTTTAAAACTTTGAAATATCTACAAAGCAAGCAACCTTTATGGATATACTTGAATTTTGGGTAGCCAGAGTAAGTCCCAGCTGTGCTTTGTTATTTGAGGCAAATACAGGCAAAGCTTTATTTGGAGACAACCTTCAGGAAGGCATTACAGTGGTCACTTAGTGCAGGTGGTTTCTTAACACAGGTTCAGCAAGGATGAAAATAACTGACATAGGGCGTTTAAAAGGTCCCTCGTAACACAGGGGATCTCATAAAAGAGATAGTGCCTCTCTGGCAGATTTGACAGTACATATTTGTACAAGGCTAATTTTTTCCCAAACAGGACATTTGTTTATATCTTGTTGTTACTTACTTCATCCGTCTGAGCCAGTTGACCATTGGATAGAGGTTCCAACTCTGCAGTCGGAGGAGCATCGTAAATCCTGCAAAATAAATAAATCTCCTTTAATTTCTATGTTTTGGTAATTAAAGCCTTTTTTATATGTTCCATGAATCGCAATTTGACCTAAAGTAAAACTGAAGGTCTTGAAATTTTATCTTAATAATTGAAACTTTACTTCTGCCACATTCACAATTGTTAAACATTCAAAAGACACACAATTACATGATGATACCCTTTCATACACATAAACAAGAGGCCCAATGGGCCTGCATCGCTCACCTGGTATTAATCTCACACTTGTAATCTTAAAAGTGGACTAAAATACATCTACAGGCAGAATATCAGTGTTTGATTCCTAAGAACCTATTTAAAGATTTAAACATAATTTTTTATGACGCCTGTGACGTTGAATGTCAAACATGGACATTAGGTTGAACAGAGTTTATAGTCTTCCAACACAGCATGCATCTGGCAAAATATCATTACACTGGACCTTTTGATTATATAGAACAAATCATTTAAAGATTTAAACATATATTGACCACTGTGACCTTGAATATGGGTGAAGGTCATTCACTTGGTAGTCCTTCATCCCAGCATGTTAATGGCCAAATATCATCACTCTTGGCCTTTTGCTTGTTAAGAAGAAGTCATTCAATGGTTTTAAACATATTTGACCCCTGTGACCTTGAATATATATGTCAAGGTCATTCATTTGAACAAACTTGGTAGTCCTTCATTCCAGCATGTTACTAGCATTATACTAGGCCTCTTGGTTATTCAGAAGAAGTTGTTTAAAGGTTAAAAACATATTTGACCCCTGTGACCTTGAAAAAAGATGAAGGTCATTCATTTGAACAAACTTTTGTAGCTCTTCATCCCAGCATGCTACTAGCCAAATATCATCACCCTAGGCCTATTGGTTATTCAGAAGAAGTTGTTTAAATGTTTTAAACATATTTGCCCTCTGTGACCTTGAATATAAGTCAAGGTCATTTATTTGAACAAACTTGGTAGCCCTTCATCCCAGCATGTTACTGGCCAAATATCATCATCCTAGGCCTCTTGGTTATTCAGAAGAAGTTGATTAAAGATTTTTACATATTTGACCCCTGTGACCTTGAAAATTGATGAAGGTCATTTATTTGAACAAACTTGGTAGCCCTTCATCAAAGCATGCTTCTGGCCAAATATCATCACCCTAGGCCTTTTGGTTACTGAGAAGAAGTTGTTTAAAGTAAAAAGTTGACGCCGGACGGACGACAGACGCCGGACAACAGACGGACGACAGACGCAGCACCATGCCATAAGTTCACTTGGCCCTTCGGGCCAGGTGAGCTAAAAATGTGATTTGTGGTCAGTGTAAAGAGTTATCTCCCTTACACATAAAACCTGTGATATTGTGTTTTAAAAGTGTTAAGAGTTGTTACCCTTCCACATCAAACCTTTGTTTTGTACCAAGTCCATATTACAATTACCCTGCTTATTTTTATCCCACCATCATCAGATGGTGGGCAATTAAAAAAAACTTCATCTGTGGTCCATCCCTCCGTCCGTCATTCTTTCTGTTTGTCCTTAAACAATTCTTGTTAGTGTTAATTCTCAGCAAGTACTAAAGGGATCCCCCCCGGATCTTCTTCAAATTACACATGGAGGTTCCCCATGATCTCTTGTTATGCGTATAAAAAAATTGGGACTAATAAAAAAGCAAGATGGCCAACAGGCAGCCATCTTGAATTTTGAGAGTTAAAAGTTTGCTATTGCTATTTCTAAGAAAGTACTAGAGGGATATTTCCCAAATTTCAACTGAAGGTTCCATGGTCCGAAGAAAAGCATATAAAATGTTTGGACTGATCGAAAAATACCAAAATAGCCGACAGGTGGCCATTTTGGTTATCTTGAGTTGAAGTTTGCTAGTACTATTTCTCAGGAAATACCAGAGGGATATTTCTCAAATTTTACATGAAGGTTCCCCATTGTCCCTAGTATTGATTTTTTGGGACTGATAAAAAAACAAAGATTGCCACCAGACATTCATCTTGACTTTTGACAGTTCATTTTTGTTATCATGATCAATTTTTAAATGTATTTATGTTTCCCTTGTTAAAATTACCCCTGGCCCTAATGAGAATTCATCCACCATTGACAGCACTTCTAATTATGTAAGAATTACACATTTTTAGCATTCTGCATTATATTTATGCAATTCTTATAAAATAACATTTGTCATAAGGGCAAATAACATATGACATGAGGTTTAAGTAAATGAACAAGATTCCCATTTAGGATTTAGGATTTCCTACGTGGGACTGGGTATAATAGTAGGAAATGAAGAGCAAATAAGGTAAAAGATGATCTTTTGTAGATTTGATAATCCTTTCATGGTGGTTGCCTAGATCCTCTAGGATCTGGTTTACTTACAGCTTTCTGGTTGTGGACTTTTTAAAAAAGGAGAAAATGTCATAATGATGTAGCATAATTCTTTAAGTGTCCACCAGTATACCTGTGAAAGTATTACTGAGTATTTTTGTCAATGTTTCCCGAGTCCTTAGAAGCTAGGGCACCTGTATAACAGAGATCATTATGTTTTTTTTAAATATCTCTGCTACTGTTCAAACCAAGGAACCCTGGGTCGATCACTAGTCTTACACTCTGCTGAATGATCTAAAGAGAAATGAACCCTAGCCGAGTCTGTGGGGAGCAGCTAGTGTTTGTACCAGGGTGACACAAAAGGCCATCACTTTCACAGGTACATGTAGACGTTTTTCCATGATCTAGAGATACAAAGTGAATTGGTACCTGAATTAGTGCGAGTGAGTAAAATATGAAAATGTACTCACTTTTCAAGTGTGGTAAATCCAAACTTGGTGATACAATGTTGTATGAAGCTCCTCAAGTCGGTCTTGCTGATCCCCCCTATAGGATTGATATCGGCACTGGAGCAGTCGTATTTGGTCATGTATCCTCGTAGACTAGAAATGACCAATTCAACAACTCTCTTCTCAGAACTCTTTCAGTAATTGAGGAAAGCTCCATAAATTAACTTATATTTTGAAAGATGTACTTAGGTATTTATTTTTGAAAGAAAATAAAAGCTTAAATAGAAAAGAGATTGTAATAATTTATTCAAATACGTAAATCGTTATTTCTTTTACAAAATTGAAGTAAAGGAAATAATGATTTCCTTCACTTTCATTAATTTAAATAGTTTTTTTATACAACATTCTTAACTACAAAGACAAGTATCAATTTGTCAAACACCTGAAAACCAAACTGAAGTCTTTCCTCACCACACCAGAGGACAGTTCAGATCAACACATTAAGATGACCTTTCGACTATAACCTGTTGACCTACCTGTATCGTCTTCATTGGCTGACCCCAGCACCAGAAGACCTCCACACCTTCCTCTCACTCATCACACATGCATGATGACCTTTCCACTATGACCTGTTGACCTACCTCTGGTCTACATTAGCTGACCCCAGTACCCAAGTACTAGAAGACCTCCAGACCTTCCCCTCACCCACAACACCTGATGACCTTTCAACTATGACCTGTTGACCTACCTCTCGTCTACGTTGGCTGACCCCAGCACCAGAAGACCTCCAGACCTTCCTCTCGCCCACAACACCAACTGGGCAAACAAATAGGCTAGAACCATCCGCACCCGTGCCTACAGACAAATTAACATCACGTTTAGCGCAACCGACTCAAAGTGAGAACACAAAAAAAAATTTTTTACAAGAAATAAGTCGGATTTAGTGAATTAAACTAATAAATGTTATAAAGGATGTTCCATATTTTTGTGCTATCATGGGCTAATTCTCGACAAATAATAAATGTGAATTTATTATTTCGATAAATTTATGCCATGGTGAATGTACTTAGAATGTACTAGAAGTTCAGTGAAATCTAGTATAAAGTTGTCTTACTTAGCTCTATTGTTGATCAAGATCCCTTTATAATTGAAAATCAATACAATCTCAGACATTATAATGCAAACATTCTCCTAGACAAACATTATCAGTTTATAAAGATTTTACTGCTGACCAAAGTCTAATACATCATTTTAAATGAAAATGTTTATGAATATAAAGAAACTATATGAGATAATATAAACTGAGGTACAGGTTCAGGGCAGGACATAGACAAAGTTAGATAGAAGTACCTGCACATTTTGTAAAGCCAGGTTCTCCCTTGGACTTCCTCCCATGGCCTTGAATCTGGGCACTAGCTTCAATGTCGCTGTGAAGATGCTGAGAAAGGCTGCCACGGCAAGGTCTATACTGATTGTCAGATGGAAACTAGAGAAAACAGCAAAGGGAGGTAACCATACGTAAAAAGACATTTGGGGTACATTCGCGTATCCGGTTGAAACGGTTGAACCGGTTGAACCTGTAAAGAAAACGACAGGTACAGATCTGAACCGAGGCTGACCTCAGGAAAATTTGGCACGTGTAGATTGAGGGGTTCAGACGTACCTGACCGAAACTAAAATGCAGACTATTGCTAGTTTGCATTATTTCTTTCTAAAACAATGTCAAGCCACATGTAGTTTTTAAGAAACGTTATGTAATTCAGTGGAAGGATGAAAGAAGGGCATACTATTCTTGATACAGTGTTTTTTATTCTCCGAAACTGTGCATTTTCAGCTCTGCTTATAGAACCGTCCCAGTGCAGTGTTCGTTTATCGTGGAATATTTCTGCGCCAAAGGTACCCTTTCAACCGGGATACGCGAATGCAGCCTTGAAATCAAATGTCCTTACAAAAGCTAATGTAATTTGAAGATTGGTGATTAGCAAACATATTCAAAATAAAAAATAAATAAAATAGAAAGCAATGGGACAGCAGCTCGTTTTGGTTTCTTCAATACCCAAAGGCAGAAGACACCAAAGTAGTTCCATATTCTGCCCCACCTTAGCTGCTTCTTACAATTACATACAGGAAAATACAGCAGGCCTTTTTCCCTGCACCTACGGGAGATGACCTTGACCTACATACCTGCCGATCTGCTGAGCCAGCCCTGCAGCACGGTCCCTTGTCTCTTGAGAGCTGTTCTCAGATCCCATATAACAGGTGGTGAATACCTTGTTCGCGAGCTCTCGTGGGTCCTGAGGAACATATGCTCCGTCTCCGATGATACGCCGCACATCAGACAGCACCTTGGTATCTAAATAAATAATTAAATTTTATACAAATTGTAGAAACCGTTTTCATAATACACGTAATGTGATAAATATCTCTTTTTTTATTTGATTTAGTTTGGTTTGTTTGTGCCTTACGTCCTATTAACAGCTATGGTCATTTAGGGAACTGCCAGGTTTCCGTGGTAGAGGTAGCCGGAGTTCCCGGAGAAAAAACCACCGACCTGCGGCCAGTAACTGGCAACTGCCCTACGTAGACCCAGTGGTGGCGGGCTAGTGGTAGCAGAATGTCAGATGTCTAACCACTTGGCCACCGCCAATTATTTGAAAATAAAACACAAATGAAGACCATAATTCATAGTGATGCCTTGAAAATATGTTGCTGCAAAGTATCAGCAACATCAGTAGTAACGACATCATTATAGTAATGATAATCGGAGTATAACCTGGAGTTACTTTGTATCTTACACTAATGTGATACTGAGAGGCTGATAGACATTCCAGGTTTTTATTTATTTAGCTAGCTTGGCCAGGGGCACTTTACAGCAGGAAATTATACTCACCCTAGCAAATACTTTTTTCCATTAAACTCCATTTTAAAACACTAGCAATCCTTTGTTTACTAAGCATTTTTATATTAAAACATTACCAGCATCAAAGATAGTTTTGGTAATTTTTTGTGTTTTTTTTTATTGTGGATTTTTTGGGCAAAAACTGGGACAAAACACTATTTCCCGGGGAATGGTGCTGTATTTCAGCCCCAAATAAGACCCAGTTAAATCCTACATCCTGAAGAAATATTCCCTGCTAGAAATAGAGGTGGACATTACATCTGTATAGTCTTTGAGCCACAGAGTATTCAGTATGACTATAAACATTGAAACTTTGTGAATGATTATTTTTCACGTTTGCACTTCAAATGACTTGTTTACAAGGATTCTTTGACCGAACAATAAAGTATAAATATCCCTTGCTTAGATGTGTAAGAATAAAATTACCTGCCATTAAAATTCACAATCAACTCTGTCCTTAAATTAATAAAAGAATTTATCTCACAAAATTGAACTGGTTTGCAGTACGAACATGATCTGGTATATGGAGATCTAATGTAATGTACGATTATTAAAACACTACCTGGTTGATGTGATCAAGAAAGAGCTTACCTCCATTCTTAACAGCTTCACAGATCTTGTGGCACATGGATGCCACAATACAGGCAGTACTCGAGCTGTCGATGCCGCCACTGAGTGGCAGAAAGAATCCACCCTGGCCGCTTCGTCTCAGATAGTCCCAAAGCCAGCAGGCGGGCCCATCACTGTAACATAATATCATTTATCACACAAGTACAAATTATTTAATGGGACAAGACACCTATACTCTGATGATTCAAACTAAAATTTATTATTTTCAATATTTGCAAAACGTTCGAGGTTCACATTCGTATGAATCATAGACTAACACATAAATTCTATCACATTCTATGTAATTATTGCCTTTTATCATTTTTCATCATTGTTATAAAGAATCATGTTATCAAGTGAACGCATCATTTCGTGCATGAACTCATGTAATATGACCTATTATGATGTCATAATCATTAAATATATTCTGCAAGGGGGTTCCTACACTAATAACAATTAAAAAATCGTGAAATTGATAACAGCTGGTTCTTTTCCAAATCCTGTACCTGCAGTTGTTATAGGCTATCAAATACAACTGGTAACTAGAGACACTGTGTGCAAGCTCACAAAGATATAACCCCTGCTTGTGCTTACATTTGTTTCTTGAGAAGAAATTTAAAGTTTCAAGGGCCATAACTCCAAGCAAATAAGACAAAACTTTCAAATTCATTTCTTCATGCACATCTACAGATGGTGTACTTTTACTGTATATGTCAAGTTACAAAAATATCAAACAAATGGTTAAGGAGGAGTTACGCTTATAAAGTTTCTGGAGCAGAAATTTTAAGCTTCAAGGGCCATAACTCTAGAGCTCAATCTTAAATTCCTTTCTGCATGCACATCTACAGGTACATATGGTGTACTTTCATTATGTCAAGTTACAAAATAACAACACCAATGGTTTAGGAGGAGTTGCACTTACAAGGATCGTGGACAGACAAAGAGTTTTTGGGAGGAGGTGATGGGGGAAGGGGTGTAGTAGAGAGTATTTACTTTTGTGCCCTCTACTTTTGAACAAAAGAGCGACTGAAGTAATTCTGTAGCACTGCTGTATATGTTACCTTATCTCCTCCTCTGCTGTGTGATACTGCCACTCCAGGGTGTCTGATGTGGGTCTGAAGAAGTCGTTGTTTGTCACGGCAAAATCACAATGCACTCTGGGATAGGATGTACTCTGTGATGCCTGTGACAAAAACAATTTTTTTGTTTATCTGTGAGGTAACAAAAGTCCATGTGTGAGTTTAAACATCATCTAGAGATGAGGATTTGGTAACGTTTGTTTGTGTTTTGAATTCTATTAACATCTTTGGTCATTTAAGGATGTGGTAGGCTTTGGCTACACCAGACTGCCTGGAGAAGAACCACCGCCTCGATTCCGCGACCAAGTGGTGGAGGACAAGTGATCGTACACGGCCAGATGCCTTAACCGCTTGGCCGCCGAAGCCCCTTCTAGAGATGAGGAACTCTTTTATGCTGTTTTACCATCTAAACGCACAAAGAATAGATAAAAGAAATCATGCACTTGACAACCCCTATGGTTATAGAAACCAATCTCCATGTGTGCATTTTCAAATGTTTTATAGAAATGTTTGCATACTAACATATGTTAGAAATACACACTTCAACTTATTGTGACCTCAGCACTTACGGGATAAACAACACTTACACTCATGGAAAGACAATGCATTGAGTTTCTGTGAACTCAACACTTATAATTACTGCTGCTTTCATAGAATGACTCCATGAATAACTATGTGAGTCACTTTTCAACACTTTATTGTGTGATAATGCAGCACTTGCCTTCCCAGAGTTACTTCATTACAATTTAACACTTACCCTCCAATGCATGGAGTCACCCCATTATGAGTTTCCATAACACTTAGCCTAAAAGAATGACTCCATAGTGAATTACTATAACACTTAAGCTTACCCTCAAGGAGTGACTCCATAGTGAATTACTATAACACTTACCCTCAAGGAGGGACTCCATAGTGAGTTACTGTATCACTTACCCTCACGATGACTCCCTAGGAAATTACTATAACACTTACCCTCAAGTAGTGACTCCATAGTGAGTTACTGTATTACTTCCCTCACGATGACTCCCTAGTGAATTACTATAACACTTACCCTCAAGGAGTGACTTCATAGTGAGTTACTGTATCACTTACCCTCAAGGAGTGACTCCCTAGTGAGTTACTGTATCACTAACCCTCAAGGAGTGACTCCATAGCGAGTTACTGTATTACTTACCCTCACGATGACTCCCTAGTAAATTACTATAACACTTACCCTCAAAGAGTGACTCCATAGTGAGTTACTGTATCACTTTCCCTCAAGGAGTGACTCCCTAGTGAATTACTATAACACTTACCCTCAAAGAGTGACTCCATAGTGAGTTACTGTATTACTTCCCTCACGATGACTCCCTAGGAAATTACTATAACACTTACCCACAAGGAGTGACTCCATAGCCAGTTACTGTATCACTTATCCTCAAGGAGTGACTCCATAGTGAGTTACTATATCACTTACCCTCAAGGAGTGACTCCCTAGTGGATTACTATAACACTTACCCTCAAGGAAGGACTCCATAGCGAGTTACTGTATCACTTACCCTCAAGGAGTGACTCCATAGTAAGTTACTGTATCACTTACCCTCAAGGAGTTACTCCCTAGTAAATTACTATAACACTTACCCTCAAGGAGGGACTCCATAGTGAGTTACTGTATTACTTACCCTCACGATGACTCCCTAGTGAATTACTATAACACTTACCCTCAAGGAGTGACTCTATAGCAAGTTACTGTATCACTTACCCTCAAGGAGTGACTCCATAGTGACTCACTGTAACATTTAATCTCAAGGAATGACTCTGTAGTAAGTTACCATATCACTTACCCTTAAGGAATGACTCCGTAATGAGTTTCTGTAACCTCTCACATCCTCGAGGTCAACCGTGGCAGTGTCTACAATCTAAGAAAGTATACACATACATGTACAAACAAATATATTGTAAATTGAACAACATTAATTTGAACTATACACTTTTGAAATCAACAAATGTCTTAAATCTATTATTTATACCTGTCATTTTGACATAACAATTAATTATTTTCTGTGTGTGTGAAACCCATCGTGCTGATCATGACATGGAGTCTGCCGCTTGCACATTTATGGAAATGGTTGATACTTATGAAAGACCTCTTAGTGGTTGACAAATATTTTTTTTGAAGTTCAAAAGGTTTTTTTACCTCCAAATGAACACCAAATATACAGCAAGATAAACCAAAAAATATTTAAGTTTTTGAAATTAGCAAGATCTTCTTGATATTTCCAGTTTCCCTAACAAAAAAGAACAGACCCTGATAACTAAAAAAAAGACATATTTCCTTGACATTACAAGTTAAACAGGTCTACTCTATTTGTGCAATTTAAGTACTTCCAGCTTGTTCATGTTAAGTGTATATACATCACTAGCTGAAACAAACCTGACACTGGTTTATGACAAAACAACTTTTTCCTGCTCGATGGAAAATGAATTTTCACTTTAACTTTCTGCATATAAGCTAATGAAAGTGGGTTTCCAAAATGAGTTTAACGAATCTGCAAATGTTATTACCACTTCCTGTACGGAGAACTGAGGACCTTGGGATACCATCTGGCCGTTGACAGCAATAGCTGAACAGCCATCGTAGTAAGTACGCTCTCCATCACATCCAATGAAGTTGGCAAACATGTAAACACCTCCACACTGTAAATAAAAGGATTTGCTCAAAATATATTTAGTAATACCGTATTCAACCGAACAAGTGTACTGTGCTTTAACAAAAACCCAAGAGGGGTTCCGTTAAATATATCCCTTTCATGCGGAACCAACCGTGTCCCTATGTATTAAACCGACCTATACTACCAAACATTTGTGCGATCTTTCAAAGGATGAATCAAATAATTTTATTGAGACAACTGGCCCAATCTTGAATCAGAATATGATGCTAAACCAGTGGCAGGGGACAGGCGTGTTTATTCGGTTGAATGTGGTATTAGTCAAAAGGGTAGAGAAGAAAATGATTTCCATCCCGTCCTCTTCTCTAAAAGGAGTACAAAATCTTAAAGGAAGTGAAGGGTAAATCTTAAACTTAGACAGGTAGATGATGAAATCTTAAACTTATAGACATGTAACAAAAACTCAAACTTAGTCTAAACCTAAACTTCGTTCAAACTGTGTAGATATCTTAGAAGACAGGAAATCTTAACTTTGAGCAAATAAAGATCTAAAATGCAGAAAAAAAAATATTTTCAAACTTTGACAGGTAGAAATTTTAAAAACAAAGAAAAAGAATGATTAAACTTCAACAGGTAGAAATCTTCAACGTAGATAAGTAGAAATCTGTATATTAAGTAGAAAGTCTAAACACTTAGAAAAAGAGTGGTATAGAAATCTAATACTTAGCAGGGTAGTAAGTTTAAGCTTAGAGAAGTAGAATATTAACAAGAAGCAAACTTAGTGGTATAGAAATCTAATACTTAGCAGGGTAGTAAGTTTAAGCTTAGAGAAGTAGAAATCTTAACAAGGAGCAAACTTAGTAGCTTAGAAATCATTTTTAGTAGAAATAAGAATTTAAATTTCCCGCGGTTCATAGAATAGCAGGAAATATTTGTCCTGTAGGTACGTGGCAATCATATAGATTGAGAAGCAAGTGCGGTTTATAGCCGACCAATGAGAGTGTTTCGAAAGCGTAGGGCGTGATGGGGTTAGTTTGTTAGGCATTCTAGCTTTTGGTCAGCTCAGGAACGGACCGTTTGAATTCAACATAATTCATTGTAATATAAGGGAAATAATAGCTTGTAACTCTTGAATGTATGAAGATCGTGTTTATACTCCATGTTTAGAAATCCCAGCAAGGTAAACCTGAAGCATCGGGCTGGTACACCTCCTGTATCCCTGAAATGGGTTGTCAGGTTGGGTGGCAGGCTTGGTTTATTTAGATAAACATGGTCTGAGAGGGGGAGATGTCGAGTGTGGGTTACACGTATGATATATATATGTGCATAGAACAAAGATTTAAATTAAACACTGACTGAGCAGCTAATTGCATATAAGGAGTTTGTTGTTTATTATACGGAGTAGTAAGTATATAGAGGACGAGACTTTTCATACATGAAAAAGTAAAAAGTGTTAAAGAATTCAATGAGAACAAGCTTTAATTGCAATGGGGAATGTACCTCTGTAGTTGTAAATGATGCATTGGAAAGAAATTTGCAATGCCATAATTCACTTACACACAAAGTTTGAGCAAAATCAGTCATAGAAAGGGACTGTTGGTATCACCTTGGCGTACACCCAGAAATGTGTCAATAAATCAGAGGGAATGATTTGGGGAAGTAAATAACAAGAGATATTCGAGGTTGTACCTTCATGGTGGCCGACTTGATGAGGTCCACCCTGACATAGGCTTTCCTCAGCTCATGGTGACTTCCACTGGAATTGGTGATGATCTCCACCCCGTCCAGACTCATGTCGATGTGCTGACTGTAACACACAAACGTCCCACAACAATTTGACAACATGCAATCAGTGTGTCGTTTGTGAAAACATATTTTGTACATTTCTGTTATTACAAGACTATATACTGTAAACCAGGACATTTTCGTCGTAGTTAAACCTTTGGCAGTTTCACTCTCTGACTCTCCAATGAGGGAGAATTTATCATGACAGTGAACATTTGTACATGACATGCAATATTATTTCAAGAGTAATAACATGGCTGTATCCATACTTGCCAATCCTCCCTATTTTAAGGATCATTTAGTACAATTCAAGGCTCATTTGGTCCTTTACAAGGCACTTTTTTTTTATTCTTAAGAGCTTTTAATGTCTTTTTATCAAATTTTAGGACCTTTTCAAGGCTTGAACAAACCCTGTATTCTCAGTTCAAGCAAGATAAATAGTGCAAAATCATGTACAAAAAATGTTCTATACAATAACACTGACCTGTGTGACGTCCACAATTCCTCGCAGATCTCACTCCCGATACATGTATCCAGTGTAGATATCACAGCGTCACCAATTGGCACCGTTTTCTGTAATGGAACATGAATATAGTGTGTTTTAAAACATCATGCCAAATCTTCACAGACTTTCATCTGTGCAAAAGTGTCAGTGATCTTTTTTAAGGAAACTGAAATCATACCCCTGAAATTTATATATCATTTTTTCCCAAGAAGTAATTATTGAAAAGAAGTACAGACATCCCAAAAATCAATGTCAATATAAATAAAATAAAAATCTTGACTGATTGTTTAATTTAATTTAAACATTTTTGATAATTCAAAGACAAAAAATATATACTTATTGTAATTAATAATAAAAGTCAAAGCTGAATCTGAAAATTTCTCAATATTCATTTCCCTTTTGATTTTTTTTTTCAGAGAGTAATTAAGCAATATCCTTTTTAAATTCCAATTCGGAAAGCACCCAGACACTTTTGAACAAGAGGCCCAGAGGGCCTGTATCGCTCACCTGAATATGTTTAAAATAATTGGTATGAAGTAAACATATATCACTCCATGGTAGGTGCTGTAAGTACATATGAAATTTCAGAAAGATCCATCCAGTACTTGAGATATAGCGAGAACAAACTTCAAACAGAGCCCCACCCCTATGCCACTAGGGGGGTCATACCCACCAATTATACAAAATTTAGACCCCTTGGTCCAAAGATGCTCCAGACTAAATATGGAAAAGATCCCTTAATCTCGATGGTCGAAGAAGGATTTAAAAGGTTTTACCTCTATTTCTCCTATTGGGCCCCACCTCTCTGCCTCCAGGGGGGTTAGACACACCGTTTATACAAAATTGGTTCCCCTTCACCCAATGATGTTTCATACCAAATTTGGATAAAATCCTGTCATTCGTAAAGAAGAAGAAGGTATTTGAAGAATTTGCTATGTTTCCCCTATAGGGCCCCTCCATTCTATCCCCAGGTGGGCCACACTCGCTGTTTAAATGAAATTGAGTCCCTTTTGTCCAAGGATGCTCCAGACTAAATTAGGATAAAATCCCTCAATCCATATGGAAGAAGGAGGATTATAAAGGTTTTACTTCTATTTCCCCTATTAGGCCCCGCCCCTCAGGTCCCAGGGGGGCCACACCCACCGTTTATACAAAATTGGTTCCCCTTTACCCAAGGATGCTCCACACCAAATATGGATTAAATCCTTTCATTCCGACAGAAGAAGAAGGATTTTAAAGAATCATTTGCTATGTTTCCCCTATTGGGCCC